ATTTGAAAGTCAAATTTTCTATTCAGCTCGCATCTTTTCATCAAGAATGCTTGAAAGTCCTCTATTTCTTTGAATTTCAATTTTCTCCCCTGAAGGATTATACTCAGTTTTGCTGGGGAGGTGATTCTTGGTTGTAATCCTAGCTCCTTTGCCCTCTGGAAAATCATATTACAAGACCTCAGATCCTCCAACATTTGTTACTTTCCTCTTCTGGTCTATTAGCCAGTCTAATAGGTGTGATGTAGTGCCTCAGAATTGGTTTGATTTGCATTTTTCCAATTAATAGAGATTTGGAGCATATTTTTTCTTGTGGCAATAGACAGCTTTGATTACTTTCATTTGAAAACTGACTGTACATACTTTTTGGTCAGTCTTTAATCCTTTGCCATGTCAAAAAAAAAAAGCTATGGATACTTTGATGTATCTTTTCTGATGAGAAAGAATTGGAAATTGAGGGGATGTCCATCAACTGGGGAACAGCTGAACACATTTTGTCATATGATTGTGATGGAATACTGTGGTGCTAAAAGAAATGATGCTAGATGCTCTGAGAAAAACTTGGAAAGAGTTACATAAACTGATGTAAAATAAAATGACTAAAACCAGGAGAACATTGTACAATATAGTAAGACGATTAATTGTGAATGACTCAGATATTCTCACAATACAATGATCCAAGACAACTCTGATGGACTTTTGATGAAAAATGCTATGGATAGAAAGCTGATGGAGTCTGAATACAGATGGAAACAAACTTTTTTTTTACTTTATTTTTAGAGAGTTTTTGTTTTCTATGTTTTCTTTTACAACATGACTAATATGGAAATATGTTTTGCAAGACTACACATGTATAATCTATATCAAATTGCCTGCCTTCTCAATGAGGTGAGTGGGAAGAAAGGCAGAGAATTTGGAACTCTGTTTTAAAAAAGAATGTTGAAAATTATTTTTACATGTAATTGAGAAAAAAATGAAATACAAAATAAAGGATAAAATTGTTTTAACATGTAATTGGGGAAAAACAAAATATATTTAAAAAGTAAAATGATACTCTACTGGAAAAAAAAAACAACACAAACCAAAAGAAAAGAATGATTCCATAACATCTACAAGCAAAGCTTCAAAGAAAAACACAGCCTAAATTAAAATTCAACTAGAATTTCTGGAAGAGAAAAAAGAAGAGTGAAAAGTATTTTCATCAATAAAATGAGGGGACTGGAGGAAAAATTGGAAAAGAAATGAGTTATGCAAGAAAAAATTTGAGAGGGAATTACTAACTTGGCTCAAGAAGAATAAAATCTTACCTGAGCAACCAATTCCCTGAAACAATTGAAAGGATCATATAGAAGCTAATGACAGAAGGAGAAGAAAGGGAGAAGAAGGAGGAAGTAGTTACTGATTCCTTGAGACATCAAGTAATATTAAAATAAAGTCAAAAGACTGAAAAAATAGAAGAAAATAAAACATCTTCTGGCAGAAACAAATGACCTAAAGAAAGACCAAATAGAGAAAACTAAAGACTGATTGGACTACCTATAAGCCATGACAAAAAAAAAAGCCTAAACATTTCAAATCCTAAGAAAACTGCCCAGATCTCTTAGAACCAGAAAACAAAGTAGAAAACAGAAAGAATCCTTCTAAATAGCTACATGACCTTAATGTTAGAGATAACACAATCAAAAATTAAAAAGGATCAAATAACTCATAGTTTTAGACAGGGGATGCATTCTTAACCACACAAGGGATACAGCCTATTAAAAAGAGGAAATAGGTAACTCTGATTACATGAAGCTACAAATCTTCTGCACAGAAAAAAAATTAATGCACCTAGAACAGAAGCCATAAAATTAGAAAAGTCTGTATCAAATTTCTCTGACAAGGCTTTGATAACCAAAATACATAAAAAATTAACATATATATTATACATATACATGTAGATATACATAAACAAAAACTATTCCCCAAATAGATATGTGGTCAAAGGATAGGAACAAACAGCTCTCAAAAGAACAATTGCAAACTATTAACAACCACTTCAAAGAATACTCTAAATCACTAACCATGATGTTTTACTTTATACCCTACATATTGGAAAAGACTACAAAAGATAGGAATAGTCAGTGTTGGAATAGCTAGAGGAAAATAGCCACATTGGTGGTGTGCTGTTGGTGGAGCTGTGAATTGATACAAACACATTCAAAAGCAATTTGGAATTGCCAAGGAAGTGACTAAGATGTCTTTATCCTTTAACCCAGAAATTCATTTTCCAGGCTTACATTCCATGGAGTCCAAGAAGACAGTCTCAATATACACCAAAATACTGATGTCAGTACTTTCTGTGATAGCAAAAATTGGAAACAAAATAGATGCCCATTGACTGGAGAACAACTAAAATGAATACAATGGAGTATTACCATGTTGTAGGAAATGATGAATGTAATGAATATAGAAGCATGGAAAGATCTATATCGAATGATTCAGAATAAAGAAAGCAGAGCCAAGAAAACAGTACATACAATGACTACAACAACGTAAACCAAAAGAATAAGTACATACACATACACATACACATACACACACAAAGTGTAGCTTGCAAAATTATAAAGAACAAGCATGGATTGAAAAAAATATGAAAAGACTCTCCCACTTCACCCCTTTGCAGAGGTGAGATGTGTACAAATTTTCACACTTTTTCAAAATATTTGATGTCTATTATGACTTTCTTTTTTTTCTCTTTAAAAAATACTATTTGTCATATGGGATGACTTTCTGGGATAGGGAAGATTACTGGAAGATTACAGTTGTTTAAAAAAACAAAATATAGCAATAAAAACTTATTTTTAAAGGAAAAGGTTTGGAATAGCTGCTGTGAGAAATAGAATAGTGAGTGAATAGTGAGAATAGAGGGATGGGGGCAGCTAGATGGCGAAGTGGACAGAGCACCAGCCCTGGATTCAGGAAGACCTGAGTTCAAATCCATTCTCAGACATATAACACTCAATAGCTGTGTGACTCTGGGCAAGTCACTTAACCCCACTGCCTCACAAAAAAAAAAAGAAAGGAGAGTAGCAGGATGTAAAAGGATTACCTTGCAGGATTACAGGCCCAGTTGAGGTTATGTAACATACATTTATAGTGGATTTAACACAGTTTTGTGATTGTAGCAAATCACATTTGTCACAGAATCTTTTTTAATGATCTGAAGATATGTATAGGTAACACTTTGTTTTAGACAGTCTTTAAAGCTGCATTTTGTTCACAATAAGATGATTTTTAAAATATATTAACAAACAAAAGACCCAGCTGGATCTTTGAAGAAAAGAAAGAATCCACTGGCTATCTCCTGAAAGAAATTCCAAAATGCAAACTCTTAAAAACATTATAGCCAAAGCACAGAGCTTCCAGGTTATATATATATATATATATATATATTATATATATATATATATATATATATATATATATATATATATATATATATATATATATATATACATATATATATATTATAATCATAAACCATCAGAAAGAAATGATTCAAATACAGAGGACTCATAGTCTGAATCACACAGAATTTGGCAACCACTACTTTAAAGAAGAGGAGAGCCTGGAATATGATATTCTAAAGGCAAATAGGCTTACAACCAAGAATAATCTACCCAACAAAACTGAATACAATCCTACAGTGGAAAAAATTGACCTTTAACGAAATAAGAGAACTTTGAAGCATTCTTGATATAAAGACAAGAGCTACATAGAAACTCTGAAGTGCCAACACAGGACTCAAGAGAAACAAAAAGGTATACATTGTAAACCACCATAACCGACTAAGCAAGGATCAACTACATACACTCTAATAAGGGGATGTGATACATGTGTTCCCTCTGAATCCTATCATCATCAGGGGTCACAGAAGGAGTCTAATTAGAAAGATGACCTAGGAGTGGTTCCGTTAGGCCCTAGCTAGGGAAAAGGAGAGGAAGGTTAGGGGAAATTATCTCACATAATCAGGTTGCACAAATAGAAGTCTATATGAACAAGGAGGAAGTGGGGGCAGGAGCTGACACTTTAAGCTCACTCTCATCTGAACTGGTCAAAGGAGGAAAACACACACACACACACACACACACACACACACACACACACACACACACACACATACACCCCAGAGTTGAGTATATGAATACATTTTACTCAACAGGAAAATAGGAAAAAAAAAGGAGAGAAGGGAGAAAGGAGAATTTAGAGGGAAGATTGATTAAAGGAGGAATTGGACCCAAGCAAAACACACTCCAAAGATACACAAAAATATCCATGGCTTTTTTTTTGACATGGCAAAGAATTAAAAACTGAGAGGATGTCCACTAATTTAGTAATGGCTGAACTACAGTAGGTGCATGTGAAAATATTCATCTTATTGGTATGGAAAGTCTGCCTTACATAAATTTAAGGAGAAAACATGTCCTTTATGGAAAAGGAAAAGGAAAGAATGGAAAAAACTGGGTATAAATGTGGGCAGAAAGATGAAAGGTGAAAATAGAGAAAAATAGGAAAGGCACCTAAAAATGAAGATGGGGATGAGTGAAGAATGAAAAGATAGGCAAAATAATTGAGAACCAGAAAAACACTTTAAAAGACCAGGGCAAACTAGTAAAGTGGAAATAGGCCAAGCTAGAGACTTCAAGAAAGGTATAAGGGCCAAGGTGATAACGAAAGGAAAGGGAGGGAGAGACAGAAACATCAAAACAAGGCTTGGATGGGAGAAGCCTGGAAATCGAGCAGGCTCGCCAAAAGGGATGCAAGAGACAGGCCTGGCAGGAAGATGATCCAGGCTGAGTTGAGTCATGATGCTGTGGAGAAGACCTGAATGAGATAAAGACAGCCCGGTGTCTATGGGATGAGCTAAGATGGAGAGATAGGAGAAATACAAGGACAAAATGTTTAATTACAGGGACTTGTACGGTGCCTGTTTTGAGGGGTTTCTCCACTACTAAACTTACCGATCCCGAGTCCCACAACAACTCGGCCCGACAACAGCGTTTCCTTATTCTGCGCCACCGACAGTACCACGGAGCCAGCAGTGAAGAGGGCACTGGCCAGCAGGATGGCGGCACGGCGGCCAAATACGCCGTTGAGGGCCCCGCCGGCCAATGCCGAGACGGCAGCCGCCCCCACAGTTCCAGACACCAGCAATTCCTGCCACAGCGTGTCCAGGCTGAGCTGCCGCTTCAGGAGCAGCATAGCCCCCGACACGACTCCAGTGTCATAGCCAAACAGGAAGCCGCCCAGGGCTGAGAAGACGGACAGTATGTAGACGAAGGAAGGGGTCTCGTTCTGCTGGAATTGCCGCCGCGCCGCCCTCTCCAGATCCCCGCTGTTGCCCAGGTAGGTGCTGGAGCCTGGGCCTGGGCCACCACTCCCCTGCAAGCTGCAGAATGACTCGGTGGCAGCAATGAGGCTCTGTTCTCCAGAAGCGATGGCCGAGTCTGGATCCTGTTGCTTCCTCCGCCTCTCGCCCATAAGGCTGCTCAGGCTCCGCAGGGTATATTCCACATTCTCGCTTGTCTTGCGGTTCATAGGGGAGCCTTCGCCTTCCCCTGTAGGAGAGAAAAAGAACCTCCAGAGCCGCGTATGTACAGCAGATTGAGGAGCCTTGAGCAAAGCAGAACCTCACAGCTGCTGCTGCTGCTGCTGCTGCCGCCGCCGCCGCCGCCGCCGCCGCCTCTGCGGCTGCCTCTTTCCCTTCTTTTCCTTTCTTTCCAGCAGCTCCGCACGAACTCAGTGGTACCTAGATAATGCTCCCGCCTTCCTTTTTCTTGTTTCCCTACAGCAGCTGCAGCTGACACTTAGGGAAATTGCTAGGTATTACTAAGGAGCTACTGAAGCTGCAGAGCTAGAGTACAAGAGGAGTTGGAATCTGAGCTGGTCTCACACTCTCTGCAAAAGACTCCCCCCAAGGTAGGGATCTGGCGCAGCTGGGGTGAAACGAGAGGCGGATCCCCACTGGTCACATGTGGTAGTGCCAGTAGTTGGGAATGTCTGAGCTGTTCTCTCTGCTCATTAGCTGCCTCCAATTCTATGGCAAGTCGTGGAGCTACCAAGGTTCCCCTTGAGATTGCCCAAGGAACAGATGACAGATAAATTTAGACCTACGTTATATTGATATTCAACCCCTCTAGGAGATTACCAATAGCCGGTTGGGTTGATGGATAAAAAGGAACTCTGCTCAGCTTCTCTCAAGTATGCTAACCTGAACCCTTTTGAGACAACCAGACTTTTGATATGGGATTGTGAATTGGTTTTGGTGCAATCTAGAGCCCCATTGTAATTAAATGGAGCAGGTTTCCAAAAAAAAAAAATCTACTTACATTGTTCACAGTCTGGTTGAAGAAAACCTCAAGTCTTTCCTCACCTTCCTGGTCAGGTGTCCTGGGGTGGAAAGCGTCTGAGGAAAAATGACTTGGCGTGGCACATTGCTGATGGATTTTGTGTATTTTTTTTTTAATTTTTGCTTGGCTAAGTGTTAAAATCCTTAAAAAAAAAAAAAGAAAAGAAAAAACCAAATTAGCTGGGTAGTGTTGGGACCATCCAGTTGGTTCTGAATTGTACATGTAGAGGTGGGGGAAACTGGCCAATGAGTGTGCAGTCCTAGAAGCACGTGCAAGTACCTCTGTTTCTTGCCAGCTTATTAGGGGAGGGGGGAAATTGGTGAACCCGCTTTTCAAAATACATAGTGAAGTGTAATGGTAGGACCTGTCCTGATTCAGAACATGCACAGATGTCCTGTGAATATTTCCTATCACTCCTTCATTTCTTTCTGGGCTCCTGATTTTCCAGACTTCTTTCTCTACAATGCTGCAGACATCATTTTGGCACTTCACCCTGACCCTGGGAACTTCTCACTCTGGAAAACCACTCCTCCACTATAGGCCCCCTTTTCCTTTTCCTTTTTCCTTTTAAAAAAAATTTGTTGTTTATTTATTTATTTTTTCATTATTGATTTATTTTTTGTTTTCAGCATTCACTTCCACAAGATTTTCCAAATTTTCTCCCCACCTTGTCCCTCCCCCCACCCCATGATGGCATGCATTCTGAATACCCCTTCCCCTAATCTGCCCTCCCTTCTATCTTCCCTTCTCCCTTCTCTTATCCCCTTCACCTTCTATTTTCCTATAGGGCAGGATAGACTTCTGTACCCCATTTCCTGTGTTTCTTATTTCCCAGTTGCATGTGAAACCAATTTTTAATATTTGTTTTTAAAACTTTGAATTCCAAATTTTCTTTCTTCCTCCTTCCCCACCCATCCTCATTGAGAAGGCAAACAACTCAATACAGGTTATACATGTGTAGTCATGCAAAACACTTCCACAGTAATCATATTGTGAAAAACTAACTATATTTCCCTTCATCCTACCCTCCCCCCCTTTATTCTATTCTCTCTTTTGACCCTGTCCCTCCTCAGAAGTGTTTGCTTGTGATTACTCCCTCCCCTAATCTGCCCTCCCCTATATCATCCTTGCCTCTCTTATCCCCTTATCCCCCTATTTTCCTGTAGGGTAAGATAGATTTCCACACCCAATTCCCTCCTTAAGCCACTCATTCCCTCTCACCTTCCCCTGCTTCCCCTCCACTGTAAAAATCTTTACTTATCTGTTTTATGTGAGATAATTTACCCCATTCTATCTCTCTCTTTCTCCTTCTCCCAGTGTAATCCTCTCTCACCCATTAATTTTATTCTCTAGATATCACCCCTTCATCTTCAATTCACCCTGTGTCATCTATCTATCTATCTATCTATCTATCTATCTATCTATCTATCTATTTACCCATCTATATATACATATAATTTTTTTCCTTCCGACTACTGTAATACTGACAAAGGTCTCATGAATTACAAATATCATCTTTCCATGCAGAAATATTGACAGATCAACCTTAATAAGTCCCTTATGATATCTTTTTCCTGTTTACCTCTTCATGCTTCCTGCTTCTCTTGAGTCTTGTATTTGAAAGTCAAAATTTCTGTTTAGCTCTGGTCTTTTCATCAAGAATACTTGAAAGTTCTCTATTTCTCTGAATATCCACTTTTTTACCCTGAAGGATTATACTCAGTTTTGCTGGGTAGGTGATTCTTAGCTGTAATCCTATCTCCTTTGACCTCCAGAATATCATATTCCAAGCCCTCTGATCCCTTCATTTAGAAGCTGCTAAACCTTGTGTTATCCTGATCATGTTTCCACAGTACTTGAATTGTTTCTTTCTGGGTGCTTGCAATATTTTCTTCTTGACCTGGGAACTCTGGAATTTGGCTACAATATTCTTAGGAGTTTTCCTTTGGGAATCTCTTTCAGGGGGTGATTGGTGAATTCTTTCAATTTCTATCTTGCCCTCTGGTTCTAGAATGTCAGGGAAGTTTTCCTTGATAATTTCTTGAAAGATGATGTCTAGGCTCTTTTTTTGATCATGGCTTTCAGATAGCCCAATAATTTTTAAATTCTCTCTCCTGGATCAATTTTCCAGGTCAATTGTTTTTTCAGTGAGATATTTCACATTGTCTTCTATTTTTTCATTCTTTTGGTTTTGTTTTATAATGTCTTGATTTCTCATAAAGTCATTAGCTTCCATTTGCTCCATTCTAATTTTTAAGGAAGTATTTTCTTCAGTGAGCTTTTGGACCTCCTTTTCCATTTGGCCAATTCTGCTTTTGAAGGCATTCTTTTCCTCATTAGCTTTTTGGACCTCTTTTGCCATTTGGGTTAGGCTATTTTTTAAGGTGTTATTTTCTTCAGTATTTTTTTTTGGTCTCCTTTAGCAAGCTGTTGACATATTTTTCATGATTTTCTTGCATCACTCTCATTTCTCTTCCTAGTTTTTTCTGTACTTCTCTTACTTGCTTCTCAAAATCCTTTCTGAGTCCTGGGACCAATCCATATTTTTCTTGGAGGCTTTGGATGTAGGAGCTTTGACTTTGTTGTCTTCCTCTTCTTCTCATATGTTTTGATATTCTTTGTCACCAAACAGAGATTCTATGATCAAAGAAAGATTTGCACAGTTTGCTCATGTTCCCAGCCAATTACTTAACTTTTAAACTCTTTGTTAAAATAGGAGTCTGTGTCCAGTGTGGAGAAGGTACTGTTCCAAACTTTTGGGGTTTTGTGCAGCTGCTTTCAGATATACTTCTAAGAACCTGTAAATTTTCACTTTTTGCAAGGTGGTATGATCAAGGGTGAGGTGTTTGCTCCTTTCCTGGCCTGTGCTCTGGTCTGTGAGTGACCATAAACATTCTTTTCTGCCTTGCAACTGTGAGGAGGATTCTTTCTCCATATCAATGCCCCTCCTTGCCCCAGGACTGCCACCCAGAACTGTGACCCATATCCAAGCATGAGCAAAGCAAGAGATTGCTGCCTCAGAACCAGCAAACAGATCCCTGCCATCACCCTCTGATCAGCCACTCCATCCCTCCTCCATTTGTGGGCTGAAAACTCTGCAAGCAGCTGCTGCCCTGGGGCTGCACTGGGACTGAGGCTGCAATCAAACTTCTCTCTCACCATGGTCACAGACCTTTCCTACTGACCTTCTAAGTTGTCTTTGGCTTTTGTGGGTTGAGCAGCCTGGAAACTGCCACCACAGCTCTAATACCCTGAAGCCTTCTCCAGGTTTGCTGAGGTCTGGTCATCACCTGCGTGCCCCTGCTGAACTGTGTTCCTCTCCCAGCCTGGTGCAGTAGACCTTTCCAATCAACCATTCAGGTTGTCATGGGCTAGAAATTTGTTTCACTCTGTCACTTCTCTTGCTCTAGAATTTGTTTAGAGCCATTTTTTACAGGTATTTGGAGGGACGTGGGGGAGAGCTCAAGCAAGTCACTGCTTTTACTCCACTATCTTGGCTCCCCCCCTTTTTTTTCTTATGGGTAAGTTCTTTTTAGTCCCTTGTGGAGCACTCTAGGTAAGACCCTATAGAACTTCCCATTTTTATTTCTCCTTCCCTTGCTGATGACTACTTGTTGTGATAGTCATTTGAGATTGTCCTTGGAGTAGTCATAGTGGAGAGTCTGTCAGTTAACAAATATTTGTTATATATGTACTATGTACCAGACTTTGTGTTAAACACTTAGAGAGGTATACTATATTATTTCTTTCTTTTCTGGCTGATCTCCCGCATATGAATCTTTCAGTATAAAAAGAGCAATGAACAAAGGATTGTATATGAAATTGTGAACTTCTATTACGAATGATTTGTTTACTTTTCACTATGTACAATTTTGGGATTTTTTTGTTTTGTTTTTGCACATAATGAGACTCTGGACTTCCTCAACCCACATGTACACTAGAAGACCAGTTCCCCTCAACCATGGATAGCTACCTTTCCTTCTCAAGTTTCTAGAGGAACCCTTGAGGGTCAGTGGGGTACTTCTAATGTTATCATTTCAAGCACCTTTTCTGGTATATTCTAAATTTCAGCCACCAGTGACTTCTGCCCAAATATCATTTGCCAGCACCAGTTAGTACCTTCTCAGTTGGAAGCTTCTTGTTATTGTCAAAAAGCCATTAACATCAATTAGCTTTTACAAAAGCATATTTACTTAGAAAATATAACAAGAATAAAAGTACCAAAACACCCCCTCTCTAACTGGACTACAATCTCCTCTCTAATACTCTGGTCTCTGAAAAGAGTGAATTCAAACTTAAAATGATAGCTACAATCATTCTTTTCACCACTAAGTATACTTCTCGGTGTGACGTAATTGATGAATGAGTTGTTCCCTTGCTTTCAAGAAATGGTTTCTTGGCTGCCAGTCTGATCAACTGCTGGCGGGCCAAGCAGGTCATTCTTTGGAGATAGGTCATTCCCAGGCTCAGCTGGGATAAAATGGATAAAAATGAAAGAGTGAACATGTCTGGTGGAGTAAAGGGGGCAACACAGCTGACTTCTTCCAACATTTCCCTCTAAACTGTTTTAAAATACT